TCAACCCACTGAATGTTCCAAGAAATTAATCCATAACCTCATCCTGGGGCGGTACTCAATTCTCACTGCAATCCCAACCCAAACATCTCTACTTTATTTTATTTTATTTTATTTTACAGAGAGTAGTAAATGAGAAGCAAACAAAGAAAGAGAACAGTAACAGCATACCAATATCACAAACATAAACAAATTCACAGAAGAATTTTATATTTGTAGTATTACTGAAAGCACCCACAGGGAAGAAGTGTCAGGTCATATGGATAGGCAGAGCATGGAATGACTACAAAGGATCTCTGAGATCTCAGTCCCTGGGGATGCTGCCAGTATTCTGAGGAATGAACCCTGGACACAGTCTTGCACCATGCCTTCAACAATGGTGTTCTCCAAGGTCCACACAGAAATCACAAACTCTTCTACAGTGCACTTTGCTGGTTTCCTAGCAGGATTTGTAATAAAAATATCTATTGCAACCTCTCAATGCACGTCACTCTATATGTACACCTACATGTAAATTCTTTAACTGCATGTGTGTGTGTGTGTCTGTGTGCATGCATGTGTGTCTGTAGTATGTGAAAAATTCTCAACAATAAGTTTCTAATCTATGACTTCAAAATATGAATAGCTGCGATAACTGTATTGCTGGTGTCTGACGCTGTATTGAAATGAACAGTTAATGCTTACTATTTTTTTATGTTCTGATCGACTTTGCATGCTTGTGTCTGGTGGTCTCAGCAACTGATTTGAAGGTAACAATATGCAATGGAATTACAATGGTGAACTCCTACCATCTTCTCTAGTGAAACTCTGTATTATCTTTAATGTTTTATCAAAGAATTATTTTCTTATTCCCTATAAAGTTTTGAGCAATCTTTCATTCTTACATCTGGTAATCCGAGCAATGCAGTTGAGGATAGCGATATGTAATGTAACAACCACTATTGATTTGTATTATTTTGTCTTGAGACTCTGAATCACTTCGAATGTTCTTGCTTTGATTTGTTTATGTTTGTGATATTGGTATGCTGTTACTGTTCTCTTTCTTTGTTTGCTTCTCATTTACTACTCTCTGTAAAATAAAATAAAATAAAAAAGTAGAGATGTTTGGGTTGGGATTGCAGTGAGAATTGAGTACCGCCCCAGGATGAGGTTATGGATTAATTTCTTGGAACATTCAGTGGGTTGATTTGTGTGCCTGCATCTTATGTTGCTCCATTGATTCAAGAAGTACAGAGGGTGGCACTAAACACCTTGTGAGCCGGAATAGAGCCAGTGACATTAATTGATTTTATGTATGATTTTGAAGAAGGAAATGACAGGATCTTCCTGTTTAAAACCTGATTTTCTTTTTTATTGAGATGGACTCATATATACACTGCTTCTTTGATGGATATGGTTCTCCATAACTTCTCACCATTAGAGCTATGAACATTGATAAAATACATGTTCCTACAAAATTTTCATGCCATCTACGTTGCCAAATTGATTTTCATTGCATTGTGCCAATGATTGCAATGATCTCTCATGAAAATTGTGAAAAACGTTTTCCCCTCTCATTATATTATTGAAAATTCCCTTTTGGTTTCTGTTCTGTCTGTATTTCTGATCATCCATTAAATGATGGTGCAGCCCATAGTCTGAAGTTGAGGAAGGAACTAAATGTGAGCTTTTCAGAATGTCACAGAAGAACTGGTATTTTGCATTCAGGGTCCTACGTGTCAGACCTCAGTGTTTCCTGTTCTCTTCCATCTCAATTGTCATTTTCCTCAAGGGTCCATGGGATAAAAGAGCCTTTCCTGGATTTGCAACTGTCTCTGAGGAGAGAGTAACTGGAAAGTTGTAATTGGCCTTAGCAATTAGCACCTGGGAAAAAGTTTTCATGGGCGCTCCACTCCCCCAAAGACTGCACTGTAATGGGGAGAGTGGGATGACAACTGTGCACTGTGGGGAGGTGAGGTCACTGACTCACAAACACATATCTGAGGTCTGGTCAGTTCTCCCACAAACATACTGGGTGTGAGAGGAATCACACATCAGCAAGAGCTCTGGTAAGTGGATGGAGGCAGGTGAGTGTGTCACATATCAGTATCAGAGGCAGATCTGACAGGTGAGGAGGTGGAGCAGCACTCTATGTATTTAAAACAGTCAGAAAAGTTATTGTGGATTTGAGACGGACTGAGCAACAGTGACGTGTGGGAGGGAAGTGGAAGCTCTGATGCATGAGACCTAAGAAACAGAAGGGAGTCTCACACCCCTCCACAATCTAATGTCTGAGTTTCCTAATGAAAAGTGAGG